TCACAAAAAGAATACTTGAAGACATGAGACGCAAAGTGTTGAGAAGGGAAAAAACACAAACAAATATATATATATATATATGTAAGCAAAGAAGACAGACCAGAAATATCATTAGTATAAAAACTTAAAGGTAGAGAATAATGACTGAAATAATAATAATTTTAGAAAGTAATGCTAAATTGAATAAAATATAGAATGGGAAAGTAAAAAATGGGATAAGAAAAGCAAAAAATAAAATTGAAATACAAATAAAACACACACACCAAACAACCATCACCACAACAACAAAGCCTTGAATCTGCTATTTATGGAATTCACTGGATTTTGTTCTGATGGTGGATCCTTGGGTGTGCATCCCTATCCTCTTGGGTAGTTCTCTGGTGCAGACCAATGTGAATTGCTGTCTCTGCTTGGCCCTGGGCCTCCTGGCTGAAACCCTGCAGGATGGGGTCCCAAGTAGCCCCTAGCTCAGAGGCTTGGTCACCTTCAGGGTGGCCACTTGTATGTATTAATTCTGGACTGCTTTCCCTTCTTCCATGGCACTGAGCTCTGTGGGGTATCAAGTCCAGTCATGGGGGTTTGAACAGATTTGTGTTGGGGGTAGTGCCTGTAGTTTATAGGAGGGCAAAGGTGTCTCTTCTCTTTGCAATGCCTCAGCTCTGCCTGGGTTGCCCGTACCCCCTGGTCATCACCCAAAGCAGGGGAGAAGAGAAACAAACAGGTGAAAAAAGAAAAATAAACACAAAAGTAAAGAAAAAGATGCCCTGCATCTTTTTTTAAAAAATTATTTTTTCTTTATTTATTTTAAAGAGAAAGGAAGGGAGAGGGAGAGAGAGATAGAAACATCAATGAGAGAGAACATCGATTGGCCGCCTCCTGCATTGCCCCCCACTGGGGATTTGGCCTATAACCTGGGCATGTGCCCTGACCGGGAATCAAACTAGCAACCTCTTGGTGCATGGGTCAATATTCAGCTACTGAGCCACACTGGCTGGGCAGCTCTATCATCTTTTAGCATGGCCAGTTCTCACTGGGCAGGAGTTCTGCCCAGGCTCCCTCCTAGCCAGACATCTGGGCCCTGCCACCGAGGTGTGGATTTTCAGCCTAGAGCTATTCCACAGATGGTTGGAGTGGCATTTCCTCTTTCTCAAGGTGGGGAGGAATGCACCTCTTTCCCCAGGCGCTCTGGCTAGCCCCCATCAAAGTTCTTTCATTGAATACCTGGCCCCTCAGATTTGCTAATGTATGATTCACCCAGGCCCCTCCTCAGGTGTGCCTTTCTGCTTTTTGTGTTCCCCAGCTCCCACTATCAGGAGAGCTTTCCAGGATAGGGCTGAGTCCCCCTTGTGGGCTGAATCACCTTCCAATTCCCACCTTCCAATGCCACATGGGCTCCCCTTCCCTTCTCTGTTGCTCTTGTTTGGGGATCTCTGTGTGGGGCTAAGTCCCCCACTCCCAGGAGGCAGGAAATGTGCCACTGAACCTTCTCTCCATCTTCCCAGCCATGCTGTGCGTCTGGACGAGTTTGCTCACCCACCTCATGTTCTCTCCTTTCTCCTCTTCATGCTCCTCACTTGCAGTATTTCTGTTCAGCTATTTTCAGGTGGTTTTTAAAGTTGAATGCTCTTCAGATTGGCCTCAAGTCTAGTCCTGTGCTTGGAGCAAGTGGATGGAACTTCCTTAGGCTTTAGCCATATTGCCCTCCTCTACATTCATTGTTTTAAAGTACATTTTTTCTGATGTGAGTATTGCTACCCTAACTTTCTTTTCATTCCTGTTTGCATGGAGTATCTTTTTCTATCTCTGCATTTTTGGTCTGTATGTGTGTCTTTTAATCTGAAATGAGTCTCTTAAGTAGCATATAGATAGGTCATGTATTTTAATCCATTCAGCCATACTGTCTTTTTATTGGCTCATTTAAATAATTTACTTTTTTCTTTTTCAAATCCTCACCAGAGGATATTTTTCTGTGTATCTTCAGATAGAGTGGGAGGGAGAGAAAGGGAGAGAGAAAGAAACATCAGTGTGAGAGGGACACATTCTGGTTGCCTCCCACATGACCGCGACCAAGGTTGGGGATGAACTGCAACCGAAGTACGTGCCCTTGGTCAGAATCGAACCCATGACTCATTGATCTGTGGGCCGATGCTCTCCTGCTGAGCCAAACTGGCAAGGGCAAACAATTTACATTTAAAATAATTATCAGTAATTATGTACCTATTGTCATTTTTGGTTGTTGTTTTGTACTCCTGTTCCTTTCCCTTGATCCCTTTGCTTGTGGTCTCCTGGTTTTCTTTAGTGTTTGTTTGGGTGCCTTTGTCTTAATTCTTTGTGTATATCTTTTGTAGGTTTCTGGTTTGGGGTTACCATGAGGTTCTATAGCTATAGCATTCTGGTTTTTTTTTTGTTTTTTTTTTAATCCTCACCCGAGGACATTTTTTCCATTTTTTGTACAGATAGAGTGGGAGGGAGAGAGAGGAAGGGAGAGAGAGAGAGAAACATCGATGTGAAGGGACACATCGAGTGGCTGCCACCCGCACGACCAACCAGAGCCGGGGACAAACTGCAACCGAAGTACGTGCCCTTAGCGGGAACCGAACCCGGGTCTCTGCGGACCGCAGGCCGATGCTCTAACCGCTGAGCCAAACTGGCCAGGGCTATAGCATTCTGTTTTAAGCTGATAGTTAATTTAAGTTTGACTGTATTCAAAAAGGACTATATTTTTACTTCCCTCCCCCTCTATACTTTGTTTTTTAATTTTTCTGTGTTTATTATATATTTGTCTTTATCTGTGAGATTTTTTTTCTATAAAACATTTTCTTATTTTTAGTTATGGCTTTTTCTTTAGTTTATGGAAGACCCTTTAGCATTTCTTGTAAAGCTGGTTTAAGAGTGATGACTCTTTTTTTTTTTGCTTGTCCTTAAACTTTTTTCTTTCAATTCTGATTGATAACCCTTTCTGGGTAAATTATTCTAGGTTGTTGGTTCCTTTCTTTCATCACTTCAAAGATGTTGTGCCACACACCCTTCTGGCCTGTAAAGTTGCTGCTGAGAAATTAGCTGATATCCTTATAGGGTTTCCTTTCTGTGTAACTAGTTGTTTTTCTTTTGCTGCTTCAAGATGGCCTCTTTATCTTTATTTTTTGCCATTTTAATTACAGTATGTATTGGCCTCTTTGGGTTCATCTTGGTTGGAATTCTCTGTTTTGTTTTGTTTTGTACCTATATATCTTTTTCACAGTTTAGGAAAGTTTTCAGTCATTCTTTCTTACAAAATAGTTTTTGTTCCTTTCTTTCTTCTCCTTCTAGAACCCTTATAGTATAAATGTTAGTGTGCTTGCTGTTATTCTAGAGCCCCTTAAATTATTCTCAATTATTTTTTTCTTTTTGCTGTTCTAATTGGTTGATTTCCACTAGTCTGTCTTCAAGATCACCAATCCTTTCTTCTCTGTTAGCTAAGCTATTATTGATTCTATTTAGTGTATCACTGTATTCTTCATCCAGCTTGGTTTTTTATCATACTTTCTAACTCTGTTGAAGTTCTCCCTAAGTTTCTGTATTTCACTCTCAAGTTTGGTAAACATCTTTATGACCATTTCTTTTCATTTTAAAAATATATATATATATATTTTTTTTAGAGACAGAGGAAGGGAGAGATAGAAACATTGGTGTGAGAGAGAAACATTGACCAACTGCCTTCTGTATGCCCCTCACTGGGAATTGAGCCCACAATCTGGGCATGTGCCCTGACTGGAAATGAAACCAGGACCTCTTAGTCCATGGGACAACACTCAATCCACTGAGCCACACTGGCCAGGCTCTTTTAATTTTTTATCAGGCAAATTACTTATCTTGGTTTTATTAAGGTTTTTCCTGGTGATTTTTTTTTTTTTTTCTCTTTATGTGAGAGGTATTCTTCTTTTCACTTTCTTTGCCTTTCTCTGTTTATATGAATTAGGCACAATCTCTCTCTCTCTCTCTCTCTCTCTCTCTCTCTCTCTCTCCCAATCTTGAAAAAGTGACCTTGTGTAGAAGCAGCCTGTGTGTAGGCTGTGTGTGCTGGGACGTTTTGAGAGGACATTTGGAGCCAAGCAGGTGCCTACCACATCTGGGTCACTGACCTACCAAGTTGTAGTATGTCTGGGAGGGTAGGCCAGGTTCATGTAGGAATGTCCTATTGATCCTGCTTGCTTTTTTTTTTTTTGGAGCCAAAATTGACTCCCAGCAATGTGGTGGGGAATGTGTTGTAGTGATCTTGCAGGTAAGGCAGAGCCCCAACCTGACCTATGGAAGTGGACAGGGATATAAACAATGGTGCTCACTGGCACCTCCATTCCTGGAGAATCCTTGCAGATCCTGGGGGGCTCCCAGGGTTTTCTAGTTTTCTCTATTCAGTCTCTTTCTCTCCTTTATTGCTCATAAGCTGTCTAATCAGTCCCCAGTTGTCTCTCAGGAGTAATTGCTCTATATATAGGTATATATTTCATTGTGCTCATGGGAGGGGGTGAATTCAGTGTCTTCCTCTGCTACTACCATTCTGGACCTCCTCCTTTTAAAAAAATCGGCCCCGGCCAGTTTGGCTCAGTGGTTGGAGCATCAGCCTGCAGTCTGGAGAGACCCAGGTTTGGTTCCCGCTGAGGGCACGTGCCTCAGTTGCAGTTTGTCTCTGGCCCTGGTTGGTCGTGTGGGTGGCGGCCACTCGATGTGTCCCTTTCATGTCGATGTTTCTCTCTCTCTCTCTCTCTCTCTCTCTCTCTCTCTCTCTCTCCCTCTCTCTCTCTCTCCCTCCCTCCCTCCCACTCTATCTGAACAAAAAATGTCCTCAGGTGAGAATTTAAAAAAAAATCGTAAGTGAATGCTGGGGAAAAAGGAAATGAATGTTCTCAATGCAAAAAGGCAACAATATTTCCATCTGAGGAAATAAAAGAAACAAAAGGTTGATACATTATATATGTATTTTGTTTCAAGTAACTTTGGCCTCTTTTCTTAAATTCACTCAGGTTAATTTTGAGGACTTTAAGGAGGGCTTTGTGGCAGTGTTATCATCAAATTCTGGTGTTGGCTCCTTGGATGAAGACAGTAGTTCTTTGGAATCAGGTAAGAGGATTTTCTCCTTGCACCTTTTGTTTATGTTCATTATGTGTTACAATCTGGATTATAATATTCTGATAGAGGAATCTAGTAGGTTTGAGACTACATTCTAACCCCATTCTATCACTGCTGAGCTGTGACAACTGGGACAAAACATTTCTATTTTTTATTCTGCTTTTTTATTTGTAAAATAGTATTGCAAGGTAGAATCCTTGTTGTTTTCCTTTAAACTGTGCACAGTACTCTGAATACTGCTGACACTCTGGCACCATCTGGGTGCTCTACAATTAATTCTCCCCTCCAGACCACTGGCCAACACTCTAACCGCTGAACCAAACCGGCCAGGGCTCTACAATGAATTCTGATATGACCTACCTAGAGATAGTGTCAGATCTCATAGGTTAAAGGCTCACTCCCATTAGTCCTTCAGTTCAGATATTAGTCGCAAGTCCAGTTGTAATCTATGCTTCTGACCAATAGTTATGAGTCAAAACCCTCTCCTTGGGTTTGATTAATTTGCTAGGGCAACTCACAGAACTCAGTAACATTTTACTCACCAGATCACTGGTTTATTATAAAAGTATATAACTCAAAAACAACCAGATGGGAAAGATGCATAAAGCATAGCATGGGGAAAGGTTGCAGAGCTTCCAGGCACTATGTAGGAGCACTAGTCTCCCCAATCTCCAGATGTTCAACCTAGCTCTTGAAACCCCATTCTTTGGTTTATGAAGGATTTATTATATAGACCTGACTAATCAAATCATTGGCCATTGGTGATTGATGTCAACCTCCAGCCTCTCTCCCGCCCCTAAAGTCAGGGGGTGTGGCCAAATTGGTCCAATCTTCTCATCACATGGTTAGGTCCCTTGGCAATCAGCCCACATCTTTGGGTGCTTTGGAGAAGTCACCTTATTAACGTAAACTCAGAGGTTGTTGCTCTTATTATGAAATTTCAAGGGTTTTCAGAACTCTCTGCTAGGGATGGAATGAAGACCAAATATATAATTATTATAAATCACAGTATCACAGTGTCAAATAATACTATGTACTGTCCTTACAGCATAAGATGCTGACATGAAAAAATGGATATGGAGGAATTAAAGATTTCAATAATTTATAGTAAATGCAGATGTAAGGTGTTTCTAGATCTCTGAGGTTGGCAGAGCATGTAGAATGCCAGCAGCCCAAGATAGACCTCAGTGTATTTTTTATCTCAGACAATAATGTTATGCTGTGCAAACAGAACTTATTAGACTCTTGTAACTGAAAAGGAGTTGGTTAGACAAAGATAACATTTCTAAGTGGAAGTAGCATCCTGAAGGGGAAAACCACCTGGATTTGGTAATGGTCAGGACGTAGAGGGAGCATTTTGGAGGGGGGTTCACCCAGGGGCATGTAGTTTGTGGGGTGAGAGTCAGAAGATGATCCTTTGGACCTCAAGCTGTGAGTGGCAATGACCTGACCTGTGCTCTAGGCTTGGCTCCCCTAGATGTGTATGGTGGTGAGTAAAATTGTAGTGGGTCTTTTCATTCTTGTGTGGGAAGTGCGTTTGAGGATGGGAGCAGTGATGTAAACTAGCAGATTGAGGAGGGAGCTCTGGTGGATTGGTGGTCAGGAGTGGGGTGTGATTGTTGGACACCAGAGTGACAGTGTGTGAGGGGCCTACCTCAGCAAAGGAAAGTAGATTGGGTGCATTGAATTTCTTCTGTGTGTTAGGCTTTGAGCTTTCTGTGCATTTTATATGGGTTTTATTTGACCCTCATAGATATCCTATGCATTATCATACTCATTATTCAGATGAGGAAACTAAGTCCTGAGGTATGAAGGGATTTGTCCAAGATTCCACAACCAGTAAGTGATGCCCACTATTTAAGTCTTGGTTTTCCAACTCTAAGTCCTGGGTCCTTGTATACACACCATTGTCAGAACCTACTCCTTCCAGTGGATGCTCATGGTTGGCCCCCGTCCCACCTCCTCCTGCTGTTTGCAAAAACACCTGAGTAAAATGTGAAGTGGGAGGGGAAGACCCTAGGAGGTTCATTGGGTTCTTTGTCTCACACTTTTCTTCTTTAAGATGTGAAGAAGGCCACTTACCTCTCCTAACTCACAGGATTTTGGAATGTGATTGTATCAACGTGTCTAAAAGGCAAATATTCAGTATCACTGACACTGTATGTCCCCTCTTTATACTACAGAATATGTAATGTTTCTACCAGGAGTGGGGAACCTTTCTTCTTCCAAGAGCCATTGGATATTTATAACATCATTCATAGGCCATACAAAATTATCAACTTAAAGATTAGTCTGCTATATTTGGTCAGGCTAATTTGGTGAGACATGTAATATTAGCGGGTATTGATTTCACTGGTCTTATATGACCTGTGGGCTGGATGTTCCCTTCCTCAAGCCAAAAACTGTGTGCATCTGTGGGACATGTTTTCAGGATCTTCAGAGGGAGAAAAAGCTATTTTAGAACTTGTGCTTTTTCCAACTGATGGCAGTTTTGTTTTGTAATTTGTTTCAGATTTCAAAGCTTTCCTCAAATTGTTGTATGTCCTGCTTGAGACACCTTCTCCATCTCATGCCACCAGATGGGGTTCATTCCACTGCCCATCCACAGAGTCAGGGTGCCCACTGCTTGGTAGTCCTATAGCTACATGGTTCCTTGAGAGTCAGAACAAGCCTGGTGTCCTCCAGGACTGTGTTCATTTCAGTTTCCACCCCTGGTTCATTTTCTTTGTGTCAGGTCCCTTCTGTCAAATGTGGTTTAGGTCTCTGCCTCCATAGTGCCTCATTTGCCACCCACTGCTCCATTCATAGTGTTACTCTCTACTTGCTTTCTAATCTGTTTGCCAATCCTTTTCAGCATCTCGCACTATGATCAGAAAAATGTGCTTTTGATACTTCAGGAAGGAGAGTTTCATATGACATCCCTGCTTCCCCATCATTCTACTCTTTTCATTAAAGGCCATTATTGAACATATAACCATATGTATTTTAATTTTAATTAATAATTTTGTTGTTGTTAATCCTCACCCAAAGGTATTTTTTCATTGATTTTTTTTTTTTAAAGAGTGGAAAGGAGGGAGGGAGAGGGAGAGAGAGAAACATTGATGTGAGAGAGACACATCAATTGGTTGCCTCCCGCATGCACCTCGACCAGGGCCAGGAATCAAACCTGCAACCCACGTATGTGCCCTTGACCAGGAATTGAATCCACGACCCTTTGGTTTATGGGCTGATGCTCTAACCAGTGAGCGACAACAACCAGGGCATGTATTTTAATTTTTAGACTTTGTTACTTTTTTTCCTATAAATAAAAATGTACACCAAGAAGGCACAACAAGATGTCTTAGGTTTGGGTCAGCAGGTATGCTGTCCTGTCTGCCAGAGTCATGAGGGGCCATATCTTGTGGTCTGTGGACACTTGGTGGTATGTTATGGGGGGCTGGGCTCTGCCTACACTGAAATATGCTTGGCCTGGGTGACTTACCGTCCTTTCCACCCCAAGAGGGTATGACTCTTATGATTCTGTGGCTGTTCCATTCATTTTACCATCATTCCTCTGCCCTTGTTGTTTCTGTTCTGACTTGCTACATGTACACTTTTCTAAAGTAGCATTTCTCTCTGTTGGAGGGAGGGAGGCCATAGGTTTCTAGACTGTTTTTTTAGAACATTGGGGAATATTATGAAAAAGGCATGTATTTTTCCAGGTGGCTCATTACTCTAAGGGAAGTGATGACTGGCTGGCAATTATGAAGAAATGGGGCCAGCATCAAGGACAGGGTGGGACTCTAGACATGGACTAGGTGTCAACTAAGGAGGGGAAGTACAAGGAAGGAAAATCGAGCCTCCAAAGCAGAAACACATGCTGGTTGCATTATCTCCTGGTGTGCCAATGAGTGGACTGAGCCCAGGAAGTGGCCACAGTGTGGGCCTGGGGGCCTGAACTCTGCCTCTCCAGGGGTCTGATGGCTTAGGAGGGCATGCAAGAGCTCCCTTCTGAGTTTTCTGCACCTGCTTTTCCCACATGTGCCACAGCTTCTCGCTTCTCACCTGACATGAAAATCCCTCTTCCGACACCACCTTTGGGTGGAAAGAGGAAGATCCTTTCCCACCCACTTGGCCTTTTTCTTCAGCATATCCCATGAGCTCTCTCACATGGAGAGTTTGTTGGGCCAGGACCTGTCAATGCCTGTTGTTCCAGGGTGATTAGCAATAGTGCTTATAATGACCTCAAAGTGCCCCAATGGGATGAGAAATGCATGTTGTTAGTTGCCTTATATCACACTTTTACTTCATATTCTACATGTCCCATGGGGAACTGAGTATTTTCCTCCCAGAAACTCCTCCCGCATCCCTAGTTTTTGTCTGTCACTGGCATCCCATTCTTGTGAATGACCATGATGGACCTAGCTTCTTCCTCTGAGAGGCCCAAGGTCAGGGGCTGTGGACTAGCCATTTGGAGCATAAAAGAAAGAAATGTGGTAGTACTTGGCCTTAATGAGCATAACTTCTGTTAGGGTGAGACTCAAGACACAATGAAATGCTCCTCATTTTCCTGCCCCACCTCACTGGGCTCTATCTCTCTCCAATTAGACCATTCTAGTTGCCTCCCTATGAACCCTGTCCTAACCACTGCCCATGCTGCACTCCCCTGTCTCTCTCCTGCCTGCCCAGGATTCTTTATAGAGACAGTGTTTTTTCTTCTCTGCTTGAGAGACCCTAGCTGCTCTGTGAAGATGTGGACAGGTAAGGTGGGATAAAGCAAATGCAAAATTATTAAGGTTTAGGGGATTTTCATGAATCCCAAAACTTAGTCCATACCTGCCTGTGTCCCAGACTTGAGACTTACGTAGAGCCTGACTCTACACAGCTATATCTGAAGTCTGCGCTCACCTGCATGCACCCTCTAGTCCCTTGGGGTCCTAGAGTGAGCAGTGTGGAAAGTGACCTTCCTGTCTCTAGAGTGGTTTATTACAAAGGTATTTTTTTTCTTTGTGTAAAAAGCTAGATTTTTGTATTAGTTTTTTTATTACCTTAACTAAAGCATAATATTATTTTTAAAAATCTTAGCCTTGGCTAGTGTGGGTCAGTTGGTTGAGCGTTACCCTGTGCCCCGAGGGGGTTGCTGGTTTGATTCTCAGTCAGGGCACATACTCAGGTTGCAGGTTCTATCCCTGGTCAGGGTATGTGCGGGAGGCAGTCAGTATTTCTCTCCCACATGGATGTTTCTCTCTTTTTCCCTCTCCCTTTGTCTCTCTCTTTTTTTAAATCCTCACCTGAGGATAATTTTCCACTTTTTTCAGATAGACTGGGAGCGAGAGAAAGAGAAAAATAAACATCGATGTGCGAGAGATACATCAGTTGGTTGCCTTCCTCACAACCCCGACCAGGGCCGAACCACAACCAATTCTGGCCTTTGACCAGAATTGAACCTGCGACTCTTTGGTCTACAGGCCGACACTCTAACTGCGGAGCCAAATCGGCCAGGGCACTTTCATCTCTCTCTTTAAGAAAAATTTAAACAGCATGTATAGGTTACAGTGGAAAGTCCTTGTTTCCCAGCCTGGCTTTCTCAGTCCCCACCCTGGGGAATAGGATAACTGCAGTTAACTTTTCCATGTTTTCTTCCAGATGTTTTCTGTGAGCATAAAAGTGCATTCATCAGTGAGAGTTACCCTCTGTGTCTGAATCTGCACTTTCTTAAAAGGCATCTCATTAGCATGCATGGGCCCAGAGGTTGCTTTAAAGGCCCCTTCCTCTAAACCTCCCATTTTCTTTTCAGCTGCTTCCTATGCTGTCCCACCAAAGTATGTGAGTGGCGCTAAGTGGTATGGTCGTAGGAGTCGACCTGAGCTGTGCGACTCTGCAGTGAAAACCAAATGTTTACCAGAACAGCAAGCCAAGGCCACTGTGAGAAGCCAGATCCGACACTCTTCATCTCTGGAAAGTGTGGAGGTGAGTCGGGTCCCTCTTCCCTACCCCAGGATGCTCAGCATTTGGGAAATAATGTTTTATTCAGTTACTGCTCAGTACAGGAAGATGTGAAGGGGAGGCAGGCATTTCTGGCCATTTTGTCACCAGAAGCACAGTGTGCACTTTGGAGAATGATATTTCATTCTGACATTTCTCTAGGTCTACTTGTTTGCGGGAATTCTAGCCACAGAGCATACTCCTTCAGACCCTGGGGTGGTACAGAGTTTGTATACAAATCACTTGTTTCTATCCCTCCCCTGTTCAACATCACCACCTTTCAAGAATGCTATTTTATTGTTTCACGGGAGTGAAATGGTAATCAGGCACAGGTACAAAAAGGAAGGTGCTTTTCTGATGCAGCCACAAGGTTAGGAATTTGGATGTATCAAGTCCACCGTCCCACCTGCCTCGAACACTTAGAATATCCTGAGCCATGCATTTACAACTAGGCAAGCACTTGCCAGATCCTCTGGGAACTTGGGAGTTCACCTAGCTCCCAGTCTCCTGAGCTCTTCACTGGGGCTCAGGGATGACCCAGGAGTTGGGCTGCTGGAGCCTCACGGGATTCATGTCAACAAATGTGTCCACAGGGCAGATCCACAGCCTGCAAGTTAATCGTGGACTCATTAGACCTGTTTTCAATGATTCAAGAAGGTTCCTGTTTCCTTTTCTCCACAATGACACTTCCATCAGATGGGGTGATATGGGAGGCTTACCTTTAATAAGACAGCCTTGGACCCCCAAAATTAATTTGTTTATATACTCAAGATTTATTGAGGTAAAGAAGAAAACAAACAAATATCTATTTAGATCCTAGAGTCTTTTCTTTCAGGGATGTGCCACACCTAGGCAATAGCAACAATTCCCAGACATATGCTTTTTTTATTATCTTTTTAACTTGGCCCTCATGGATGGAAGGCTATGCTGGTCCATCTTTGTGGTGGTTTTCCACTTATTGAACCCATCTTTGATTCCCTAGAACTAGAACATGGGGAAACTACTTTTAGGGTTGTCAATTGGGTTGAAAAATGGGACATTTCAACTGTTTCTTCTTTCTTGCCCTCAGTTTAGTGCTGGCTCTGAGGAGTGTCGAGTTAACTGGCACTCATTCCAGAATCAGTCATAGGACACACAGCACCTGTCAGAAGCAACTTTGACTTTGTGGTCAGCTGCCTTGCTTGCAAAAATATGAAACTTTTACTCTAGTCAGGAGTTTCCTGCTGGGCCTCCCCCTTTAGCATGCAGCCTGCAAAGGGCACTAAGGTGTCAGGTGCTTGCTCTGCATCATGCTGTCCCTGGGGTTCTTGAAGGGACAGAGACCTGTTCTCCCTCCCACTGTTTGCATAACTGATATGGGTGATAAGGGAAAGTTTGAGGACCTTCAGATCTCAAGTTGAGATCCTGTTCTGTGATGCAATGGTAATCAAAGCTCCACAGCTACTATTCTTGAAGAGATGCTAGTTTGGAGAGCGTTTTTCTCTCCTGTTAGGTAGAGTACAAACTATGTTTTTTTCTTAAATTTTTTTAATGTTGACATTATTGGTAGTGTCCCCCTTTTTCCCACCTTTACCTGCCTCCCTATCCCTTGGCCTTCACCAAACTGTTGTCCGTGTCCATGGGGTATGCATATATGTTCTTTAGCTAATTCTTTCATCTTCTTTATCTAGTCACTCCAACCTTCCTCCCTTTGGACACTGGCCAGTTGGTTCCATGTGTCCATGCTTTTGTTTCCATTTTGTTGGTCAGTTTATTTTGTTCATTAAATTCCACATATTGGTTAGATCACGTGGTATTTGTCTTTCTCTGATTGGCTTATTTCTCTTAGCATAATACTTGCCAGGTCCATCCATACTGTTGCAAAGGGTAAAGTTCTTTCATTTTTACAGCTGTATAGTAGTCCATTGTGTAAATGTACCATAGCTTTGTTATCCACTCATCTGCTGTGGTCACTTGGACTGTTTCCAGATCTTGGCTATTGTAAATAATGCTGCTATAAACATAGGATACATATATTTTTCTGATTGGTGCTTTAGGATACTTAGGAGATATTCTCAGAAGTGGAATCTCTGGATTAAAAGGCAGTTCCATGTTTAATATTTTGAGGAAACTCCATACCATTTTCCACAGTGGGTACACCAGTCTGCATTCCCACCAACCGTGCACAAGGATTTCCTTTTCTCTACATCTTCACCAGCACTTGTTGTTTGTTGATTTGTTGATAGTAGCCATTCTGACAGGTGTGAGGTGATACCTCATTATAGCTTTTATTCCAATTTCTCTGATGATTAGTGATCTTGACCATTTTTCATATGTCTATTAGCCATCTGTATGTTCTCTTTGGAGAAGTGTTTATTCAGATCCCTCACTCATTTTTTAATTGAATTGCTTGTCAGTTTTTTTTTTTTTTTAAATGTATATATTTTTTGTTGTTGTTTTTTTCCTTTTTTAAAAAATTTTTAAAATTAATTTACTTTTGTTACAGATGTTTCTCCTTTTTTCCCCATTGTCCCTCTCCCCTGATCCCCGCCCCCACTCCTACTCCAGCATTGTTGTTTACGTCCATTGGTTACACATACATGCATATAAATTCTGTGGTTTATCTCTTCCCTCCCCTGCACCCCCACTTCTGAGGTTTGGCAGGCTGTACCCTACTTCTGTGTCTCTAGATCGATTTTGTTCATCAGCTTGTTGTGTTCATTATATTCCACAAATAAGTGAGATCATGTGATATTTGTCTTTCTCTGATTAGCTTGTTTCACTTAGGATAATACTCTCCAGGTCCCTCCATGATATCTCAAAGGATAAGAGATCTTTCTTTCTTACAACTGCATAGTATTTTATTGTGTATATATACCACAGCTTTTTTTTATCTACTCATCTATTGATGGACTATTTTCAGATCTTAGCGATTATAAATAGTGCTGCTATAAACATAGGGGTACATATGTTCTTTCTGATTGGTGTTTCAGGCTTCTTAGGGTATATTCCTAAAAGTGGGATCACTGGGTCAAATAGCAGTTCGATTTTTAACTTTTTGAGGTAACACCATAGTGTTTTCCACAGGGGCTGCACCAGTCTGAATTCCCACCAGCAGTGTCCTAGAGTCAGTCCCCTTTTCTCCACACCTTCGCCAACACTTGTTGTTTGATGATTTGTTGATGGCGGCCATTCTGACAGGTGTGAGGTGATACCTCATTGTTGTTTTAATTTGCATCTCTCTGTTGGTTAATGACATTGAGCATTTTTTCATATCTCTCTTGGCCATTTGTATGTCCTTTTTGGAGAGGTGTCTGTTTAGGTCCTCTGCCCATTTTTTAATTGGGGTATTTGTCTTCCTTTTGTTGAGTTGTGTGTGTACTCTATATATTTTGGAAATTAACCTCTTATCTGAGCTATCATTGGCAGTTATGCTCTCCCATATAGTGGGTTGCCTTTTTATTGTGGTGGTTGTTTCTTTTGCTGTGCAGAAGCTTTTGAGTTTGATGTAGTCCCATGTGTTCATTTTCTCCTTTGTTTCTGTTGCCTTAGCTGATGTATCAGTGAAAATTCTGCTGCGTATGATGTCTGAAATTTGGTTGCCTACAGTTTCTTCTAGGATTTTTATGGATTCATGAGTCACATTTAAGTCTTTTATCCACTTTGAGTTTATTCTTGTGTATGGTGTAATTTGGTGGTCTAGCTTTATTTTTTTGCATGTAGCTGTTCAATTTTCTGCTGTCCATTTATCAAAGAGGCTTTCTTGACTCCACTGTATGCTCTTGCCCCCTTTGTCAAATATTAATTGAGCATATTGTCTTGGATCAATTTCTGGGTTCTCTGTTTTGTTCCACTGGTCTATATGCCTGTTCTTGTGCCAGTACCAGGCTGTTTTGATTACAGGGGCTTTGTAGTATAACCTAATATCGGGTATTGTGATTCCTCTTACTTTGTTCTTTTTCAAGATTGCTGTAGGTGTAAGGAATCAGGGGCACCGCCAAAAAACAGAGAAGAGACTGGAGAGCCAATCAGCCGAATAAACAGGGATCAGGCTTTATTGGTACACTCCAGGTGGGTTCACAGACTCCGGGGGTCGAGTCCTAGAAGCCGCGCCCGATGCTGGGGTTTGTATCTGCCCATTGCAGCTGGGATTTTTCTGTTAGGGTTTGACCTAGCTGGGGCTATGCATGGGAGCCTCTGGAATGTGAGTCGATAAGAGCAGGATGGGAGTTAGTCTACAAGCCCGGGACAGGCGGTTCCCGGAACAGGGTGGGAGTCTAGGCTGAGCAAGCGAGACAATGGTCGAGCAGTTTGCCTGCCACTCCCCAGGCTATTGGACAGTAGGTATTCAAGGTCTTTCTTGGTTCCATATAAACTTTTGGAGTATTTGTTCTAGTTCTGTGAAATATGTCGTTGGTATTTTGATGGAAAGTGCATTGAATCCATAGATTGCTTTGGGTAATATGGACATTTTAATAATGTTAATACTTCTAATCCATGAATAAGGTATATGCTTCCACTTTTTTATATCTTCCTCTATTTCTTTTTTCAATGACCTGTTGTTTGCTGTGAAGAGGTCCTTGACTTCTTCAAGTTTATTCCTAGGTATCTTAACTTTTTTGGCATGATGGTAAATGGGATTATTTTTAAGTTTTTCTTTCTGTGAGTTCATCGTTCGTGTATAAGAATGCCGTCGATTTCTTGACATTAATTTTGTATCCTGCTACTTGGCCAAATTCATTTATTAAATCTAAATTTTTAATGGAATCTTTAGTATTTTCTATGTACAATATAGTGTCATCTGCAGTTTCACTTTCTCCTTTCCAATTTGGATCCCTTTTATTTTTTCTTCATTTCTAATTGCTAAACTTCCAATACTATGTTAAATAAGAGTGGTGAAAATGGACATTCTTGTCTGGTTCCTGTTCTTAAGGGAAATGCTTTAATTTTTGCCCATGGGGTATGATGGTGGCTCTATGTTTTTCATATATAGTTTTTATTATGTC